CTCCATGAAGCCAATGACCACGCTCCTTAACTTTCACATATTTTTATCCCTGTTGAAAACTTCAACTAGTTTGTCATCAATCACCAAAAAGGGGGGAGATTGTAAGTGCATCTAGTGCCACCCCTAGTTGGTTTTGGAGTATTGACGACAAACATGTTTAAGGGACTAATGTGTTTGTGAGATTCACGGGAGAACACATGTAGAAGTCCCTATTGATTCGGTTTACCCATCGAAGATGACCCCTAAAAACGTATGGACATTATTGGTGGTTTGCAAAGACATTCACGTCGAAGATAATGATGTGTGAAGACATTCGCTTGAAGACAATGAAGTGCGAAGACGTAGTTTCTTTCGAGTTTCATTTTCTTCTTTCTTTAGTCATAGAAACCACTGAACTGTCAAGTGGGGTTCAAGTGAACAAAGTCTGAAAACTGACGTGATGCTCAACCCATATCCTATGTCTTCGTGTGAAGACAATGAGAGAAAATCTTATCCTGAGTTGGATAAGTCGGCTTTGCTTGTAGACCAAGTCAAGCCGTCGCGTGTGTTTGAAATCTGACCGTTGGACACGTGTCGGTTCCCCAATGACCAAGGGTCATTTTGGACAAATCATGTCGGTTTGCCCCATGGCTATAAATAGCCACCCCCCTTCCATCATAAATTAGTGATTGCTCAGAGTTAGTATACGACTTTTGTCGTTTAAGAGCAACCCACCTCCGAAGCTTTTGAGAGAGAATCCTTGCGAGGACAAAACCCAAAACACCCAGAGCCCAAAGAGTATTTGGCATCACTGTAGTCTTTCTGTCTGCGTGATCTGAAGACTTATTACACTTGAAGACTGTGATCTTCCAGTCGGTTAGGCGTTGCGTTCTGAGGATCCAAGAGTCATTGTGGATCGCCGGTGAACGAAGTCTGTGAAGGTTTGGAAGTCTACCATGAAGACTTATACCTGAGTGGTCGGGCGAGGACTAAGTGACCTTAGCTTAAGTGGAATAAGGTGAAGACGCGGCCTTCTGAATTCAATCTCAGCCTCCCTAACCAGACGTATAGTTGTCACAGCAACTGGTACTAGTCTACCAAATCCTTGTCTTCGTTAAGCAACCGGTTCCATCACTTCACTTCTTTACTTAGCGTTTAGCTTCATGAAGTCATTGCGTGCCTGCTCTGGTTGAATACTATGTGTGAATACATTCACTCTGATTGCATATTTGGCTTCACACTGTCTCCCTATTCTGATCCATCTACCTAGCTGCTACGTGTCTTCGTGCTTTCCCTGTATTGTACTCTGACTCTATTGTATGGCTCGGGTAGCTTATCTTCTGTTGTGTTCTGTTTAGTTGTTGTTTTAACTGCCTGTCTTCGAAGACATTGCCTGTCTCGAAGACTTTCATAAAAACAGCCTATTCACCCTCCCTCCTCCCCTCTAGTCGATAACTAGTACTTTCAAGGTGGAATGGTGGTGGCGTATGTGATATGCGACTGCTGCAAGTATGCACATATTTATACTTGGCTCTGGCCACTTGTAGAAGCATACGACGTGTAGAGATCCAACCTAGAATTACATATTAGCATAGTTACATTAGGTACATACTAGTGGGGAATCCAGACTCCGTGAGAACGCCTTCACCCTATTGCTTCCAAAACCTTTCATTACTCTCTATCACGTTTATTTTATTCTCGCACTTTTATTTAATTGTTGTCACCTTTCACCTGCAATATTTCAACCTTCGTATTCGCATTGCTTCGGACCTTCAATAACTTGCAGACACTCCATAATAATTCACTACGAGGAACAAAGACCATTTTCATGTGCTCACTACAGGATCGATACTCTTACTTCAAAAATCTACAACTAAACCTTGTGCACTTGCACGCTATCAAAGACATGTAATCTCCTTATCTATTGTTTTATGTGTCGAGGGTCCGACTACTCGCTTGTCGCATGCAGAGGAGAATGGAAAAATCTAGAGTGAAGGTATGCAGAGAGGCCACTTCTATATAAATCTTCTGTTTGCTGATGACTCCTTGATCATTATGAAAGCTAACCCTCGCAATGTCGAGCTTTGAGATCTATTATGGATTCCTATTTCCGCCGCTTCAAGGAAAATGGTGGGCCTTGATAAATCTAGCATCTTCTTTAGTCCCAATAGGAAAGTGGAGATTAGGGAGCAAATTTGTACCACTCTGAATATATATTTTTTTCTGACTTGGAACCCCTGGATTCCATTACTCAATGGGCACAACAATATCTGCTCTGAATATTATGACTGAGACTCTCAGTGACAAATATTTAGGTTTGCCAGCTAATGTGGGTATGGACAAGTCTGATTATTTTCAGTACCTGATTGATTGTATATATTACCGTGAAAATTAGTGGATGGAAAGAAAAATTATTATCCACGAGGGAAGGAAATCCTTCTCAATTTTGTTGTACATTCGCCTTTACAATTCCTAAAAAAAACTTGCAAAGGATTCGTTGACGCGATGACACATTTTTGGTAAGTGACAAGGACAATCGGAAGTGGATGCATTGGATGGTTGATGGAAAATGTACGTTTCCGAAAATCAAGGGGGCATAGGTTTTTGTGATGTTCATTGTTTCAATCTGGCGATGTTGACAAAATAAGCATGGCATCTTCTTGAGAACCCGGAGTCCTTATGTGCTACCATTTTGCGAGCAAAATATTTTTCTGATGGTGATTTATTGAATACTAATTTAAAAGGGAGCCTCATTTACCTGGCAAAGTATCATGGCATGCTGGGAATGGTCAGAATATTGATATTTGGGAACATGTTTGGATCTCGAATTGTGCTAATAGAAAATTTATCACTTGTAAAAGGGGATATATGATATCTAAGGTTTTTGATTTAATTCATCATGTTACTAATAACTAGGATGAAAATCTGGTTAGACAAATGTTGTGGCCAATTGATGCACAACAAGTCCTCGCAATACCTCTTCCTCAACATGACATGTTGAATTTGCGAACCAACCTGTGGTTGGATGGTTAGAGGGACTGTGGTATCCCCAGCTCACCAGGGTTCAAATCCTGGTGCTCGCATTTATTTCTAAATTTATTTCAGGATTTCTGGCGATGCGCATTTAGTGGGAGGAGACGTTCCCGTCGACGACGAGGTGCCTACGGTGACTTCGTAAATCTCAAGATGATACGCCGGCTTAGTCTTTCAGAGGTGCTCATAGGGGTATGGTGTGCGTGTGTGCGTTCATATGAGTGTATGCGCGTGTATATGAGCGCTTACGTCTATACTAATGTTTAAAAAATGACATGTTGAATTTTGTTGCTTGGATCTATTCAAAAAATGGTATATTTTTCGTACGGTCAGCTTATGTTGTGGAATGGGAGCACCAACACATAAGGAAACGAGCACCAACACACAAGGAAACTTGGACGTACTAATGAAACGGGACAAATCATAGTTAATTCTATTTGGTTTAAGATTTAGCGCAGATTGCATGACTCTCCCATGTCACATTACACTGGCTAATAGACACCTAAAAGTTCCACCCCAATGCTCATTTTGTTCCTCTGGATCAGAAGATACAGAGCATCTGTGGCTTCAATGTCCAAAGCAAAGGAGGTTTGAAAAAAAAATGGGGATGGATGAAGTAATTAAAAAGAGCTTGTGAAGTTGATCATGCTGGTGAAGGTGTTCTTGAGTTTTACTCTTTCTGCATAAGCATGCTATTTTGGGTCTTTAGAATGCTCACTAGATGATCGTTCTTGAGTTTTTATTCTTTCAGCCGAAGCAAGCTATCTTGGGTCTTTAGAATGCTCGTGAGTTGATCGCCATTACGGCCTAGTACTTAAGTCGTAAACTGGTGCATGAGAAGAAAACTCAATATGCTAACCAGAGTTCTATGGGGATACGTGCTCTAAAGACAAACTATGTCATTGTGTTCTCTCCAAAGTCTACAATGAAAAGAGGGGGTTGGGTCCAGCATCTTACAGCTTTTATAAAACTTAACGTGGATGCTTCTTTTGATCATGACCTGCTTGGACGCACGGCTAGAGCTGTCTTAAGAGATGATAAAGGCAAATTCATTATAGGGGGTAATTAGAGAATTAATTGGTATACATATGCCGTCCTCAAGGCTGAAGCTTTGGCACTAAGATAAGGCATATACTTACGCAAAAGGCGGGTTACAATTGCCTCGGTCATTAACTTAGATAATTTGAAGATCATTGAAACCATGAAGAATGGAGGACGGTCTACATGAACGTCACGGCAATTTTTTATGATTGTTATTATTTGGGGCATGTGTATTTTCTAAAAAAAATCCTAGATGAAAACATAACAGAAAAGTTGGAAAACTCTTTGCTTTGGATCTATTTATACATTTCGAGTATATTGGCAATTCCAAAAAACTGCACATACTATGATTATAGTATAATCACGAGCGGTTGTATATGGCCCTATCGTCTAGTAGTGCCCCTATCGTCTAGTGGTTCAGGACATCTCTCTTTCAAGGAGGCAGCGGGGATTCGACTTCCCCTAGGGGTAGGGAGTATTATGAAAGGAGGTTAAACATAGATTAGCAAAAACCCTAGGAGTATTATGAAAGGAGGTTAAACATAGATTAGTAAAAACCCTAGAATAAATTCTTCTTGGGTCGATGCCCGAGTGGTTAATGGGGACGGACTGTAAATTCGTTGATAATGTCTACGCTGGTTCAAATCCAGCTCGGCCCAAACCAAAAATCTAGGGCTTCGTGAATACTAGTTTTGAACACTGTTTTAGGGAAGCGAATAAGGTTGCTCATGAGCTTGCTAAGCTAGCTAGATTTTCTTTGACTAGTGACTGGTTTTAGGAGGCTTCGGGTGAAATTGTACCCTCCTCGTAAACGATGTACTTGTTATTTTGAATGAATAAGTCTTGTGTTTTCAAAAAAAAAAACTCCGGAGGAAAGACTTCGAGCTGAGCAAGACAAGAATGCAAACAAGACTCTGCACTTGCCTTATTGACCACCCTACCCAACATTACTCCGGGATTCCTCTAACACGAGAAGTCAGCTCTCTGACTTGATTCTCAAGCCGTCCTGGATGGCAGAAGAAATCGGCGAATACGCGTCTCTCCTGCTGCGCATTGCGTGAAGGCTGCTGTAACATCTGCACAACATTTGTAAATATTGAAGTGATGACTGAATCCATACAGAACTACACCAAAAATGCTAAAACAGCTGAGTGCTACCAACACGAGGAAGCAACAGACCTTGGTCTTTTCCTCTCGAGCCATCATTACTTCATTAACAGAAGCAGAGACTTCATAGCTGATCATTTCCAATTCTTCAAGTGCTTGCGCCAGTGGCTAAGTAAAACATGGTGAGCTACTAGCAACGGAACAGAGTAGGAAAGGGTAGACAGATGCGATGAGAATGTACCCATGGTGTAAATTTTGGTAGCATATGTGTAACGGGTACAGATAAAATCTGCTCGAGTATTTGGACCATCCTGCATCTGCAAAATTATGAAAAATCATGGGAGTGATTGCATCTAACATATAACTCTATCAACACAACTTTTGTCAATGTCTCAATGAGTATTAGTGTGAACCTCCTCTTGCTGATGTGCAGTAAGCAAGATTCAACCACCCAATATATTGAAGAAAGGTGAAATTTATCTAGGGAAGAAATGTTTTGTGCACAATTGAGAGGTCAACTCACTGTTCATCGATAAATCTTCCCCGTTCACGTGGAAGAACATTTTCAAGCTCATGCTGATAACAGTGGAGCTCATCCTCCAACTCAGATATCTGCTCAACCAAAGCACATGCTGAAACATATGTTGGTGTCATTGTTTGAGAACCTACAAAAACTGGGAAGAATGAATTATTCCTACTTCCAGTAGGTTGCACCATATGATTTGTGCAAAAACCCTGCTTACCTGAGTAACTGCTAAGAATATCCCTCACCGCATGGAGAAAAGTATCCCGGTCATCAATAGACCCTTCTTCGATCATGCTAGACGCGGCTTCGCCAATTAGATGATATTGGTCCTATGTATTGTGCAGTATATACTCTATTTTATAAGAGTGTACACATGAAGTGAATATTAACAAGCTAAACTACACCATTAACTTTCAAGTGAATATAGTCAGGCTGCAGGTGGGACTCCCCGTGGGCGTCCCACCTCGACCCACTCCGTCCCATTAGAAATTGGTGGGTACAGGGGGACAAGCCACGAAAACTTAGCAGAGTTAAGTGGGTAGAAGTGGGAGTCCCGCCAAATGAACCAATCATCAAGAAAATGAGATGAACGTAACAATAAGCAATAGGGTAAGAGAATGCCATGGAGCTTGCCCTCGCGCCGAGGTACCCATGTTCTGTTCTGCGCCCGGCTGGTGGCGACGAAGCTGCCCAACTACTGCGGGTGACTGGCAGCGTTCGTGCCGGAGATGCTGCCGGGCCCGAGCTACAACGCGGAGAAGATCTTCGACACGGTGGTGTGGCAGACGCGGTGCCACCTCACCAGTTGCAGGAACAAGGACGAGATCCTGGCGAGGCTCCACAAGATCGAGGCCGACAAGCAGAAGTACACGGAGGGCGTGGAGCAGCACCATCGCGGAGAAGGCAGCACTGCTGGGCGGGCAGCTAGGGGCGGCCCTGGGCCAGGATTACAGGCGGCGGTGGGCGGTGCTGGGCAAGTTCTTGGAGGAGCTACTGCTGTTCCTCGCGCCGACGGACAACGTGGACATCCACACCGAGGTGCTCGGCACCGGTGACGAGTTCATGATGCCGCTATGGGTGCTGCTCGCCCACGTCGGTGTGCTCGACTGCCCGGCACCCAGTGCCGCCGCAATGCGTGATCGGTTTTAGCTCCGAACAAACAGGAATACATGGTGGTGGGACATGGGAGATGTCGAAGAACTCAACTTTCCATCGATCCAGTGCAATTGATAGGGATTGTGCACCTGCGCAGCCGTCCTCTTTGTTGTTCTTCGTCAAGCCTGAGCTGGTGATGTCATCGAATTCTTCCGGTGCCTCGTCCACGGAGGGGCGCCGGCTCAACTGGTGGGTTTCCTCAAGGCCGGCCCGGAGGATGCCCTGGTGCACTACTACCCCATGGCTGGTCGCCTGCAGGAGCTCCCACACGGGAAGAAGCTAGTGGTGGACTGCACGGCGGAGGTGGTGGTGTTCGTGGAGGCGTACGCCACGTGCGGCTGGAGGAATTCGCCAAGCCGCTGGTGCCACCATACCCCTGCGTTGACGAGCTCATGTGCGATGTGGGTGATACGGGAGCTATCGTCAGCAAGCCGTTGCTCTAGAAACTAACCGAGGGCTAGAAGAAGTGGGTCTAGTGGGTTCCCGATGGGTTAAGTGGGATAGCCCATCAATATTTTGCAGTGTTCCACGGGTGCCCACTAAACACTTTTAAGTGGGATGGGTGGATGAGTCCCACCGCAGCCCACTCCCACCTGCAGCCTGAAATATAAGAGTGTACACACAGTGATAAAACAGCAAGCAGTACAAATACCAGGCGACTATTGACAGCTAATACGTAGCTCTGCAGCTCCATTTCTGTAGCTTTCAACAATGAATAGGCACTCAAAATTTTTGTCCGTCTTTCAAGCTGGCAGGCTATCGCCAGAAACCGATGAGCAGCAAGCTGATTCACCAAATGATTGATGAACTGCGACAAAGAAGAAATGTCTACATTATCACTTAGTTTGGTAGGACGTCGGTCTCCACCGGAACAGGGTAATAGCAAGTACCCTTTTTTGCTGGCTTATGTAGCATTCCTGGCGATGAACAATCAAGTTATGACCCCTAGAAGGTCATAGGTAGCAACATGAAGCACCAAGCTCAATACCGCAAAACACTTTCAAATGCTTACTGAGTCATGACAAGATCACACCTTGCAGAATATTTGCACCCTCAAGTCGAGCCAGGTCAGAACACAAGCTCGCGACAGTCTAGAGAAAAGAACAATGAAAAGAGACCATTAATTATTACACAATCTAGCAAACAAAATAGAAACATGGCAGATAAAGTATGGGTTAGCTAAATTAGGGGCAAACATATAATTTTTACTTGAGACAGTGGGAAAAGAGTGTATTGGGACTATGGATTGAGGATACAAGCTCCTTAATAGACAAATAAGCTATCACGCTCATGGTCTGTAGGTACACTCTTCACAAAATTTAGCTTCATTGTCCATTCATGTAGTAACTCCACTGAAACAGCCATGAGCTCGTGATATGACCAAGGTGTCTAGGAAAAACTATTCCCACTGCCTCCTATATTTCCCTTATCCGGCAGGGGCCTGTAACATATCATCGATAAAGCACATAATGCTCATAGGAATAGAACATTATTCACCCAAGGCATCAAACAGTCAGCTTAACAATTCTGAAGCATCCATAGAGGAAAAAACTTTTAGGTGGTTCATGATATATTAGGAACTAAATTCTTGTTTTAGAATATACCTCGGATAGGCATTCCTGCACTTGAAGGGAGAGATCCTTCAGCTCTTCTGTAAGTTCAGAATTTCTCCTCCTGAGAACGAAATAAGAAAATCCACAATACAGCAGATACATAAGTTATGGAATTATACAAATTCAGAACAGCACATAAACAAAAGCTCCACTGCAGTACCATATAACAAGGATAAAATACACACAGCCTAACCATTTTCATACAAAAAAAAGAAGTGTTCTCTACAAGACTTTATTCAATCTCTACTTATTGTGCCCAAGCTACGGAAGTAAAATTAGTGACGACAGCAAGAACCAAGCAGTTCCCTTATTAGAGATGGCCAAGAAGGAATATACATTGTTCTGAAAACTTCCATTCTCAAATAATTATATTATGCTAACTCCAGTTTACTATTGTCATACATACCTTAGAGAATGGATGTCTTCATGAATATATGAGTGTTGGGATGCCAACTGAGCTCTCAGCTTCGAAAGTGTAGCCTCCTCATTAGCATGTTCCATTTGTGCTTCAATGTACTGTTTTTTACTTTTAGCAAATCTTTTAATAGGAGAGAAGCCTTAGTACAACAAGTAGAATGGCTCTTCAATTTGATGGTGACTATAAGGTAGACTGTTAAAAGATAATATCCAACGGACATCAAACGTCAAAGAAGAGATATAAATCTGAGTCCATGTCATGTGGTATCTGAAGGAACACTCGAGTACTTATATCTGTCATAGATGTTGAATTTTCCGACATACATTTTTAAAGAAAGGGGTGAACAGTGGACGCAGCAATTCGGCTTCCGAGCTCATCTGCTCCCTTGCGTGAACAGTAAAAGAATACTAGAAAAATTCAAAAAAAAATCTGATTTTTTTTGCATGGAAGATGTTCGACTGCGTGATGTCCATGCCAAATTTGGTGGTGTTTGGACATCTGAGTAACTCCCAGAAAAAAAAATTGGGGTCTGTGAGAAAGTTTACTGTTCACTCACTGTTCGGACCGATTTTGTCTTTTTTGCCACGAGCTCCTCAAATGTCCGAACACGATGAATTTTTTCCCGAACAACACGCATTCGAGTGTCTTGGTTGACAAAAAAAATCAGATTTTTTTTATTTTTCTAGTATTGTTTTATTTTACTATTCACCGAGAGTAGATGAGCTGAGTTCAGGAATGAATGTTCGGTGGTGAACATGAATTAATAAGGCATAAATTGATACCAATGGATATTCAAATGCACTTTCTTGAGATTATGATTTGTATTAAGGAAAATTGTATACGAAATTTAAGGTCAAAATTCAAATTTGAATAGTCAAAATACACCTATCATTTTGAAATAGAGTGTACTAACTATTATCTCCTACATGATCGCTACCATGGTCATTTTCCTTAACGGATCCTTAATCCCCGCGCATGACCAGAATATGCCTTAGGAAAAAAATGGGGGGAGCAGAACTTTTTCGAGAAAACACAAAAGCCTCGCGTTTAGATGCATTGATAGAGAGGAGTTTGCACAAGCCCTCGGAAGAGCAACACCCGATGTATACAACGCCACACCCCTAGCCGCTAGGTGCTGCCACCACCGGAAGCAAGGCCGCTAGATCATGCACTCTTGCCATCACCCATTGCCCCGCCTCCGCCTTTACCGTGTCAAGGAGACGAGCTAAGCTGACCAGAGCGTTGTCAAAGATGATCGCACTGCAGTGCTTACAAATGTACCAGGCCATCAGCATTAAAACCATTGAAGGCCTTTCCAGGCCAAGGTGGGGACGAATCGGCAATTTTGTTGCCACTAGTCCACGAAGGCATCCCCCTCAGCAGGGGGGGGGGGGGCGTCCGTAGATCAGATCCAGGAGAGCACCTCATGACACGCACTGTCGGTGTCTAAGAATCGGACATTGTGCTGTTAGCTACAACACTTTTGAGAATTCAGCCAGGGACTGAACACGTCTAGCTTCCTAGGTCATGATCGATCGAAGGAGAAAGAACGGGAGGAAGAACACGCAAGAAATACCCAGGTTCAGGCCACCGTGTTGGTGTAATACCCTACTCCTGCATTTGCCCTTTATTTCATATGGTGACTGGCTACAATGTGTGACTTGTGTTCTCCATGAATCAGTCACCCCTGTTGAGGCCGCAGCCTTCCCCTATTTATAGTGCCTCACGGGGCCCCTCGCGGAGGCTCTCATTGGCTAAATATTTGACTGAGTAGGCTGGCTCTAGCTTGTATCCGCGGAGTATGGTCGTCTGCGCCACGCGCGCACATGCTTGTGATGATGGTTCCCGGAGCATCGCATTGCACCGCAGATATTCTCCTGCTTCTTTCCTCGTACAGTGCGGTCAGTGCTAGGGTACCGTCCCTGTAGCAATATACAATGGATGGCTGCAGGCGGAGAAAAGCTCTGCTCGAGCCTTTTGAGTATTATGATTATTAGGAAACAAAGGATAGACTAGGAATTATTCTAGCTTGTCTTGTACTCCAAGATGGTCATGTACTCCTATATATACGCCCACGAGACTCAAGCAATACATCAACAATTCCACCGGTCCTTCTCTATTCCCTTTTAACATGGTATCAACCTAACCGATCCAAACTCTAGCCGCACCCCGCCACTTCTGCAGCGCGCCGCCCCCGGAGCGGTCGATCTCCATAATCGCCATCGGGGGCCGCGCCGCCCGTATCTAGGGTTCATGCGCCGGTCATGTTGATCGGCAGCACTAGAGTCTTTTTCCCGATCCTTGATCTGGGTTTCTCTCTCTCGCCGGTCGTCTTGATCGGAGTTTTTTTTGGTTTTCGATCTCAGATCAGCTTGCGTCGCACGCCGCCGTTTGTCATCTACGTGCCTCTACTCCGACCTTGGTGGAGACTCCACCGGCATCTTCGACTGGAACGGTTGCTACGCTGCGCCCAAGGCTTCACACGTGCCCATGAAGGCGAGATATTTCTCGTGCGCGGGCTGTTGTGCTCGCCTGCTTAGGCGTGCATGCTGGCTCATAGATCCATCACGTATTCACGTGGCCGGTGCCAGTGTTCACGCACGCTGCATCATGCATGGGCGTGGCTACTCGTGTGGCTGTCTCCGTCTGGTGCGAACTTCTGCATCGTCCAGCCACGCGGACGCGCCGCGGGTGCCTCATCGTCTGTCGTGCCTTCGGTTTGTTCAACCGTATGTGTATATCTCTGCAGGACTGTAACAGCCCAAAAGTGATGAGTCCCACTTTGTAATATATCCAACCTTTGTCATGATCTATTTCCATGTGGGCATCGATATATATGGCTTCAGCTTCTTGTTTTGCATTGTTTCTTTTATTTGTTGCATGCCATGCCCACCATTTTTTATGTTGCATTGTGCCTCTTGTCATTTTGCATTTCATCATGCTCATCATGTGCATTGCACTCTTCTTGTGTTGTTGCTAGCTCTATGCATATGACCCATGCACCATCACCTCTCCCTTCCTTCTTGTTTCTTTTATTTTGCAAGTGAATTCTTCCCTGCCCCATTAAATGTTCATTCTTTCCTTATAAATCTTGCACCTTGCCTACAACCTCTCTGTCAAACTGCAGCTCATTTGAAGTTGGTTTGGTTGGGTTCAAAAATGGAGCAACTTTGAATTAACTTGGTTTATTTTTCTATCTCTAAAAATGTCTAAAAATGTCCAAAACAACTTTGAAGCTAGAGACGGTACGCCAGGGTGCCGATGCGCTCGGTGACGACGAACGGTCCAAAGAACTTATATGCCAATTTGCGGCATGGGTGGTTGGCGACGGAGGATTGCGCGTACGGCTGCAGCTTGAGGAGAACTTGTTCCCCGACATCGAAGGCGCGCTCCGCCATGTGCCGATCTGCTTGTTTCTTGAAGCGGTGTTGAGCTCGTGCAAGCTGGGCGCGTAGCAGCTCCGTGTGCATGGCCCAGTCCAACTCAGCCGCCGGGGTGCCATCCGGCAATGCAGAACTCAGGTGCGGCAGACCCCCCAGGTTGGGTTCTTTTCCGTATAACGCCTTGAAAGGGGAGCAGTTCAGAGAGGAATGGTGCGTGGAATTGTACCAGAATTCTGCCGTCGGAAGCCATTTGCGCCACTGCTTGGGAGTGCCGTGAACTGCACAGCAGAGATACATCTCCGGACATTGATTGACGCGCTCCATTGGCCGTCAGTTTGCGGGTGGTACGCCATCGAATACAGCAGCTTGGTCCTGGCGGCGGCAAGGATCTCGCGCCACATCACGCTGGTGAAAACTTTGTCTCTGTCGGAGACGATGGAATGGGGGACGCCGTGCAGCTTGATGACGTTTTCCCAGAAGGCACGGGCTACCTACGCTGCGTTGAAGGGGTGGCAGAGCGGGACAAAGTGCGCGTACTTGGTGAGCCTGTCAATGACGACCATGATTGCGTCATATCCTTCTGACTTTGGTAGTCCTTTGACGAAGTCCATGGTCAAATCATGCCATGGCTCCTGCGGTATGGGCAAAGGTTGAAGTTTGCCGACCAGGTGCGTGCGCTCGTGCTTAGCATGTTGGCATATTGTACACTGTCTGACGAAATCCTCAACTGCGCGCTTCAGTCCTGGCCACGTGAACAGCTTGCGGACGCGGTGGTAGGTGGCCGTGGCGCCAGAGTGGCCGCCGACGGCGCTGTGGAGGAGCGCGGAGATCAGCTTGGTCTGCAGTGCGGAGTTTGTGCCGATCCATAGGCGGCCGCGCTGCCTGATGACGCCTTGCTGCAGGGTGCGGCCTTGGTCATTCGTGTTCAAAATGGCGGGCTTGGCGAGCAGCTCCTGTGCGTCCGGGTCAGTCTTGTAGGAGTTGGCGACCTCCTAGAGCCACTGGGGTTGACACATGGAGAGCGCGTCGAGCGCCAGGAGGTGGCCGACTCGAGACAGCGCATCCGCAGCAGTGTTTTCGGTGCCCTTTTTGTAGCGCAAGGAGAACTGGAGACCGACCATCTTGGCCATGGCCTTTCTTTGGAGTTCAGTTGCCGGTTGCTGGTCACCTAGGGCACAAAGGCTCTTGTGGTCGATGAAGATCTCGAATGGGGCATGCTGGAGATATGGTCGCCACTTGTCGATCGCCATCATCACCGCCAGAAATTCTTTCTCATATGTGAAAAGCTTCTGGTTGCGCACTCCCAGCGCCTTGCTGATGTAGGCCACGGGGTAACCATCATGCGTGAGTACCGCACCCACGCCCGTGTCCCAGGCGTCGGTCTCGATGGCAAACAGGCGGTTGCAGTCTAGGAGCGCGAGCACGGGCGTGCTCACCATGGCCTTCTTGAGCATGACGAAACCGTCCTGGGCCTTGTCGCTCCACTGAAATCCCTTCTTGGTAAGCAGCTGGGTCAACGGCTTGGCGATGATGCCGTAGTGGGGGACGAACTTGCGGTAGTAGCCCGTTAGGCCAAGGAAACCGCGGAGCTCTGTTGGTGTAGTTGGCACGGGCCATGCGTCCATGGCGCTGGTCTTGCTGGGGTCGGTTGCCACCCCGTCCTTGGAGATGATGTGGCCAAGGTACTCTATGCCTGTCTGAGCAAACGAGCACTTCGAGGCCTTGGCAAACAGCTGG